GGACGTATGCTATTGCACCGTATCCAATTTCCGAGACATTAATGAAAACATGAAGTTACGGGAGCGAGTGATCTGATTGTGAAAATAATAAACAAAGTGTAAAACCAACGCTCTCAACCCTCTGAAACTCACTTAAAGTTTCTAACCAGCGTTCGCTTTCCTCTTTCGTAATCTCTTCGTCCCAGCCTAGTCTTAATTTACTCAAACGTTGAAGTAACTGCTTCATGGGAAGCATGAACGGTGCTAACAGTCCCAGGGGATCGGAAAATGAGGCTACACTCGATAATACACATTTCTGAAGAATAACCCAAGGGCTTTTGCCAGCTCAATTGCATCCTGTACATTATCATTGGAGGCTAAATAATAGTCGACATAATTGGTTGATAAACTAGATCGATTTCAATGTGTTGGTGATTGCTGATTGACATGAGTGCCAAGCTTCTAAAAATTCCCTCGTCGTTTTGGAATTTCCTCTGTCCAAGATTTCCACACTTGACCAATCGAATGTGCGTCCGCAGTTGTCCACGTGTATTGATATAAGTGAGGAGATATCATGCCGTTTGACTGCTATTTGATGTTCATGTAGGCGAAGTTGAAGGGCGCGTCCACTTTGCCCGATGTAGTGTTTGTCGCAATTGACACAATTTATTTTGGAGACGATGTTTGATTTATCTTCTTTTGTTATTTCATCCTTTGGTTTGCATAGGATTGATTGTATTGATTTGTCGGTTTGTGTGCCACACTTATCTCGAAGGTTTTTAGCAGTTTCTGATATGCCATTTATGTAAGTTAAGATGATCCGTTTGTTGATTTCTGTACTTGATTTGTGTTCTGATGCTGCATGTGGTTGGTATTTTTTGATGAAGTTGATTGGGTAGCCGTTCTTTCGATGTATGTCCTTCAGGTATTTCTCTTCCTTTCTTCGTGCTGCCAGTGTGCTGCAGTGTGTCCGAGTCCTCTTGAACAAGGTTGTACGCAGTTGATTTTATGTGCTCTTAGGTTATTGCTATTGTAGTTAAGAATTCGATTTGTATGGGTGGGTTTTCTTATATACATGAGTTTTTAGTATTCCTGTGTCGGTTCTAGGGAAAAATATATCCAAGAATGACAGTTTGTTGTTTGAATCCTGTTCCAATGTGAACTTGATGTCATCAAAGACGTTGTAGATCAGCTTGTAAGTGTTTTCTATCCCATTCTTTTTGACGATGACGAATGTGTCGTATAGAGTGCGAATTCAAATTTTTGGTTTGATCATTGATAATATCGCAGCTTCTAGTCTTTGCAACACTGCTTCTGTGATCACTCATGATATTGGTGACCTTATTCGTGTCCTTTTACTTTGATCGTAGATTTTGTTATCGAATTGAAAATATGTTGTTGAGCATAAGTCGATAAGTTCTAGTAGACTTTAAATTTGAAGCTTCGTGTACTTTGTGAGATTTGTGTCGTTGGCGAGGAGCAGAGATATAGTTTCTTTTGCTAACCTTGGTTCAATTGAGGTGAATAATGCTGTTACATGGAAGGATTTCATCAATTCGTGGTTGTTGATTGGAATGTCCTTAATCTGGTCTAAGAATTGTGTAGGGAAATCTACTGAGTGGTTGGATCAATCGACTAGTTCTTTCAGTATTCGCTAAATTTCTTTTGACAAATTGTATGTTGGCGTTCCGGGCAGTGCTACAATTGGACGTAGTGGAATGTTTGGTTTGCGTATTTTCGGTCTGCCGTAGAATCGAGGGAGTACTGGTCCATTGGATTTTATTCTCCATTGATCTTGTTTTGTTATTTCTCCTGCTTTGACTAGCTTGTTTAAATTCTTCAAGATTCTGTTGTCTAATTTCTTGACAGAATTTGTACCTATCAGTTTGTATGTGTTTTTATCTTCAAGTAGTTGTTCGGCTTTTTTGACGTATTCCTCTTTGTCCATAATTACTGTTGTGCATCGTTTGCCTGCTGGAACTATGACAATATTCTTTCTAGTTCCAGGTTCTTTCAAGGCTCTTTGTGCTTGTGGGGTCAGTTGGTTGTTTTCCTTCACCTGTTGCGTTTGCGGTACTATAGTTTGCTTTATTCTTGTTGTGTTTCCTCACTGAATCCAGAAGTTTTGAGTGATGACTCTAGTGCTTCAAAGAATTCTAGTTTTGAGGCGTCGCTTGTGTTATAGTTTGATCCTTTTTGGAGTAGATATTCTTCTGTGTTTGTTAGTGGTTGTTTTGATAGATAGATCATGCAGTTGTTTGTGTTTTCTTCCTTAGGTGCTTTTGTGATCTTTATTAGTTGGTAATGGCTATTTGATCTTCGACTACTCTACATAACTATACTTGCTTGGAAACTAGGCCTATCCATTTTACAACTCTACAAGCATTGTAAATAATCTTTCAGTCTTGAATTTGTTCAAACTAACTAACTGGCTTTGTTAACTATTTGTGCTCATTTACTATTATAAAATGCTTGAAAACTACTACGATATCAAACAGTGAATTACTCCAACTGAGATATTGAAGTTGTTGTTGACTTAATTACCTCTCTGTGGGTTCTTTGAATAATCATGAGCATAGTACACTGAAGTTCATGTAAAGTAACTGAGAAATCAATTTTATAGACTGGAAGTGTAGATGATCTTCATAGTAAAAAGTATGTGGCAAATACTGATTATTGAAAACATCGATGAGATACTTTTTTGAATTAATGAAATTTGAATGCGATGTTGTACAAATTATGCTGAGAAATTTCAACTGTAACAGAATTCATGATAATAATATAATTATTATTAATACTATTGGTACTGTCAGGATTATTATCATTACGGGTGTTGTTTTCAAGTAAGTTGTGTTTTTGAGCCGTTTACCAGAAAAACGATCAACGATGATGAGGATGATGTTTTACTCGAGAATGCTCAAGAGCCACAATTCCAGTTACCAAAACATCATCATCATTTGTTAAAGTACCCTTCAGAATAAGATGAATTTACATATTCCCCGGATTCACTTCATTGGCCTACAACATAGAAAAACTCGTTTTTTCAAAAAGAAATACAATAGACTATATTTCATTTGACAAAAATATTTCAATAAAATTGAGTTTTCTGTTGATATACGGCTAACGAATTGACGAATTCCAAACAAGATGAAACATGTGTCATGGACTCCACTATTGGCCAAAATCCATCCTTTTTCATCATGTACATAATGTTAAAAGAATTAAAGTAATTGGTAGAAAACTCTGATACGGACACTTTACCTGTTATGACCTTGATTTGTCTACCCACTTCTTGGTGCCGAGGATACTTGTCTTATCTAGATTTCGACCTTGATGCGATAGGCTGATCGGCTTAACCTTGAGACTAGTACGCGTGAGTTCGAGATGGGGTAGAGAGAAGAAAACTATTCTGCCACCTGATTGGTGGGCAAGCACACGAATGAGAGAGAAGACAAGACAACTGGAACACTACTCGATCTATTTCCCTGACCACTGAACTCACTGTATTCACTGAATTCACTGGATTCAGATTAGTGTAAAAAGGTACATGAATAATTAAGTGAATAACCCGACCGCAACGTACAATAATTAGGAAAAATACAATTATGTCCAAAGCTGGGAATTAGAGTAGAAAATAGGGTGCAAAATAATATGTTTAAATTACAATAGCTTCGAAACCGAAAAAGGTATGGCAGTGAATGATACTTCGAACGAAAGCTTATGTTCTGTAGAATAGATTAGGGACAAAAATAAATGTCAGTGTTTTACAAGCTTTGAATAAAATGAAATAACGTCCCGAAAAATAGCCTTCGTAGTTTGTCAGGGCTTCTTGTTTCCCGGTTCACATCATCTTCCCCCTTGACAAAAAAATGTTATAACTGCCATCCAACTGAGTTCATAAGTGAAAACGGTTTACGTTGCGATCCGTGTAAGCTTGACTAATTTGACCAACTGGAATAAATAAAAAAAAAGAAAAATGATTAGTCACTATTTACAAGTAATAGTTAAGATCTCATCATTGATATCTCCCCTCAGAATCGTATGCTCTTTTCTTTGGGTCCACTTGTAGAACATCTGGTCTTCTGCGTTTTCGTAACGATCTCCTAATAGGATCTTGTTCCGGATGCACAGTTTTGTGAGTCGTTGAACTTTTAATATCGAAACTGTCCAAGAAGATTTGCCACATTGAACTCAGTTTCTCGGTTTTCTGTGCAGTACTAGAATTTTCCAGTATGTGGTTAACATGACGTGTCCACTTTTGACCTTCAACTTCCACCACATACATTACATTTCCCCGTCTCTTAAGTATGCGTCCACTGGTTCATTGTGGAGGTGAGTATCTGAAATCACGGACGTATACTGTTTTGTTGTTTTGGAAGATTCTATTTTTCGCCCCATGATGGCGATTAAATTGGATTTCCATCTTTCGGTTTCTCCTTCCTATGAGATTTCGCTCTGGTTTTATTGCATCGAGAGCAGTTTTAACTTTTCTGCCAAACATAATTTCCGCTGGAGACATTTGATTTGGTGCTGACGGGTTTGGAGTTGTTCTGTAGACGACTAGAAAATCATTAAGAATTTCCTTTATCTTCCCCTCCCCTTTTGCCTTCAGTAGCGCTCTCTTGAAGGTATCCACAAACCTCTCGGCTTGACCATTCGATTGTGGATGATATGGACGTGAACGAACATGATTGACTCCAAATCTCTTGCAGAAATCTGAGAAGATGGACGAAGTAAACTGAGTGCCGTTATCCGACACAAGGATATTTGGGACTCCAAAACGAGAGAATAACTGCCGTAATTCCATAATAGTGTCTTGCGAAGTGACCTTGTTCATAGGGATAATCTCCGGCCATTTTGAATAAGCATCGACACAAATGAGGAAATATGTACCCTGAAATGGGCCAGCAAAATTAATTTGTACACACGACCAAGGTTTCTTTGGAGATATCTTCGGCATTTGAAAAGGAACAGAAGACTTTGGTGTGGACAAAACATTGGCACAAATTACATGAGGTTCTGAAGTTTTACGCGAGCATACTTTATCTGAGGCATTTGATTGGGAATCATTGTGAGGACATGTTTCATCGGAGGAATTCGATTTAACATCATCTCGCATTGATAGCTGGTCTGTCGTTAATGGTCTCCTACTTAATCCGTCTAAATGTCAAGCTGTTAACTTTAGCATGAGACATGATCGGCATTTAAACACCTTTTTGAGATCTCATAATGCTTGTGCCATTGGCGACTCTTTGATAAACACAGTGTCGACGGTCAATTATCTTGGTGTTACCTTTTCCTCTGATCTCTCTTGGTCTTCTCACGTTTTATTGTTATCGAAGAAGGTTTTCCGTCTGACATACTATATTAAGAGGTTGCATGCCTTTGGGATCACTCGTCATTTACTCCTACAATTTGTCAATTCTTGCATATTACCTATTATTCTGTACTGTTCTCCGTTATTCTTTCCCGGGCTTTTGAGAAAAGACTTTGCTGTACTGCGGAGAGCGCTGAAGGCAGTTACCAAGTTATGTGGTGAATCTTTCGAGACCATAATTAATATGATTGTGGATAGACATCTAAAGTCATGCAAAGTCCTGGCAGATGTTATTTTATCAGATACTAACCATCCCCTTCACTCATATCTTTCTCCTTGTATATCTTCTGGTAGAACGAGACGAAATTACATTAAAATCCAAGCACGCAAGCAAAAGTATAAACGTTCTATAGTACCTTACCTAGCAAATGTACTCTGTGATGAACAGGTTGTTAGAGTTAACCTAGTCAATAATCTGCATTCTTAACATGACTCTAATTGGAAAGTTGTACAGTTTTTTTTTCAGATTTTTTTTAAACCGTTTTTTTTCTTTTGTTCTGTAAAAGAAACTTGTTGAAATATTTTTGTGCTGAGAATTCTATATTGTACCAAAATATAATATTGAATAAAGCTATAAATAAATAAATAAATAAACTAGACATTACATTAGAAGCATTTGATTCAGAAAGATTATGAGAACATGTTTCATCAGAAGCTTTTAATTCATGAATATCAAAAGAACATGATACATCGGAGGCATTTGATTTAGAAATATCATCAGGAATTTTGATAGACTCAAAGGAAGCATTTTGAGAACATACCTCATTTAATAATTTATTCAAGGTATCAACCTTCTCAATCCAGTCTAATCCTAATAGATCTAAATCGTGCCGATTTGTAATATAACAGACATCGGTGAACTTATGTCCCATGAATTTAACGTTGCATGTGACTTCTCCTGTCAACTTCACTATATCTCCTGAAGCGTTGCGAGCAACATGTTCTGTTGGTCGGATGCGTGGACATCCCAGATTACGCCATGTGTTTTTGGAAATCAGTGTAACATCAGAAGCAGTGTCCAATTGAAGACGTATGGGTTTTTCATTTACTAATAAGTTAACGTACTTCCGCTTACTTTGAAAACCAACTTTGAAGGCTGCGAACGTGCTTTTAATTTGACTCTGTGGTGGTTGCTTCGCATTTCCACTACGACATTTAGACTTACGTTTATTCGATGAGCAATGACCTTCTTTATGACCAATGCGATGACATTTTCGGCATTTGTGATTCTTGAACGGACATAGTTTCGCAAAATGCCATGCTCCGCAGAACCAACATGGTGATGGGGGTTTAACAGAAGGTATTTGTGTGCTTGTAGTGTTCTGTTTGGACGATGTCGAGGATCTGAGAGCATTAATTGAACCAAAATCGGAAGGTTTAGCCTTCTGTTGCACCATCGCGGTATCATGTTTGAGATTTATCAACCTCTGACACTCGGTTGTGACCATTTGTAGTGTCATATTCGGTTCCTGTTCAATGCGTGCTAACATCCTGGTACGGACATCTGCATCTTCTGCATTCTTTAAACCACATATAAAAATCAAGCATTTGAATTGGTCTGCTGTAATCTCGTTTATTTTGAACAGTTCGCATTCTCGATTTACTTTACCAGCATATGTGAGATAATCATCATCTGGGGATTTCGATATTTGGAAACATCGATAGCGAGTATTAAATAATGAAGATTGTTCGCCGAAAATGTCAGATAAAATTTGGACTGTCTCTTTGAAAGATACATCTCGCGGATTTTGTGGCAGGATGAAATTCACATATTTGTTGTATTCACGTGTTCCGAATCTTCTCAGGAGTAGGCGAACTTTAGCTGCGTCATCAAGATATGAGCATTCCAGACGGAATATGTCTTCGCAACGATGAAACCAGGAATTGAAAATGATACCAGATTCAGGATCATAATGGAATTCACAAATACAATTTGTGATGCATTCATACTTATCTGATTGATAAGTTGCGGATGAATGTAATGACAGCTTCTGCATCAGTTCATCTAAAAGCTTCATTTGATTTGCATCATTTTGCGCTTGCTGAATTTGTAGAATAGTTTTAAGGTCGTCCAAGGATACAGACATTTTGTTCTGGATCAATCAATATAGAAAAAAAATACAATTATGTCCAAAGCTGGGAATTAGAGTAGAAAATAGGGTGCAAAATAATATGTTTAAATTACAATAGCTTCGAAACCGAAAAAGGTATGGCAGTGAATGATACTTCGAACGAAAGCTTATGTTCTGTAGAATAGATTAGGGACAAAAATAAATGTCAGTGTTTTACAAGCTTTGAATAAAATGAAATAACGTCCCGAAAAATAGCCTTCGTAGTTTGTCAGGGCTTCTTGTTTCCCGGTTCACATCATTACCGAACACCAGTTCCTTTACTGGCAAGTGTTATTTAACACGACATTTAGGTGCAGACTGTTTCACAGACTTTTGTCAAGCATTTAATATCTTGTGTTGTGTCACAACTGCAACTTTGGTCTCTGTACATAAGGGACTTGAATTTAGTCAGTCAGTCAGTCAATCAGCCAGTCAATCAATCAATCAATCGAACAATCAATCCATTATTCAATCATGTATTCAAAGCTTTAACTAAAAACGAAACTCTCATGGAATAGTTTGTTGGTTTTCGATCAAACCGGTTCAGAGTATTGTCTACTTGTTATCATGAATATTGATTATTCAACTCGTCAACCATAATTGAATCATTCTGATATGCATCATAAATAAGCTTGATTAAATATCGAAACTCGACCCGTTTTTCTCCTGCTAAACAATGTTATTGAAATTTTTTGTTTTATCTTTGAATTAAGAAAACTAATTTTTCGCTGAATATGAATCAATCTTTTGGTTTAAATTTTTTTATGTACAATAGCGGACATTTGTTAATAAGTCAGTCTACTGTAAGAAATTACTTGTAGAATTTCTAAATAGTCTACTCACTTATCCGGACTTCGGATCGGCAGTTACTGTGGAAGACCATTTTGTGGAGCCTGTTGGGTTCGTCTGTGGCGGCGGGCTCACCACTTTAGTGGCTCGAAATCTAACTCCAAGTAGATTGCATGAATGGTTAATATTAAAGTATATATGTCACCTATCCTCGTATATAATCATCGTTTCAAATCGCGTTAGGCAATGACAGAAATAAATAAGTCAAATAACGAGAATGGAACTTTGAATACATAAATTTTGTATAATCGTTGATCAGACAAACGAACGGGCAAACGATGCGAAGAGAAGTAAGCGAAGCAAAATTGACGCGCGGTGGAGATCGCTGATAAGCCAACTGTCATTTATCCAAGCATTAATCAATATTTATAAGCACACAAAAATACAGAAATACAATAGACTATATTTCATTTGACAAGATGTTTTCAATTAAATTGAGTTTTCTGTTGATATACGGCTAACGAATTGACGAATTCCAAACAAGATGAAACATGTGTCATGGATTCCACTGTTAACCAAAATTCATCTATTCTTATCATGCACATGAGCTCCAGTATCCTGAAGGAACAAAGGACGTATGAACCAATCGTTGATCACCGGCTACCATAGGACTGCATCTCCTTACGATGCTCCACTGCCTTGTGGGTCAGACGTTCAGATCGAAAGCTTGGGGTGTGGTCCCCTTAGAAAACCACCTACTTCGGTTTGGACACCCTGGCAGTATCACAGCTCTCACACAAATCAAATGAGATTTGTGTGGCGCATATGTATTTAGTGCCTCCTTGTACCAATACCTAAGTGGTAAAATAAATAAATAAATAAATAAAGGCGCGAAAATTGTTGGGAATACAACTGCTTATTGAATGTAAATAAGTAGTACAAAACAAAATACAAAAGAGTCGAAAGGAAACGAGTAAGAACAATGTAAGCAAACTTAACACCGCCCCCCAAAGACGCCATGTCTTTTCTCAATTTCAGTGATTAGATATTTAACGTGAAACATTCAGAAGTGACAATAGTGCGATTCGCTCTAACCACAGTCACTCTGGGATGTCTTTCTGTTGCAGTCAAATAAGTGGTAAGTGTCTCATAGGGTATAGCTGATCGTGAATGAAGTTAATTTTATTAGATATATATGTCTTGAAGTGTGACTTTGTATTAAGTATGTAGTTTATACTATCATGGAGTCAGTCAAGAAGTAGATTTCGGTCAAGTGTTTCAGTTTTATTTCATCTAAAATTGCCTCATTAATTTCACTGACAGCACTGCAACTTGCAGTTCGAGGAAAGGGAAATTAACAAATTTTAGAAGAGTTATTCTGAATTTACTCAAAATTTATCCACGTCTCGTTACACTCGCGAGTCAATCCTTCTCAGGTTTTGAACAACCTACGAAGTATGACGGTATCCAATAGCTTGGACGCAATCGGAAGTAGACGTATCCCCCGATAGTTGTTACAGGAACGACGTGAGGCCTTTTTAAAGATAGGGCAACTATCGACTCATTCTATGACGTTAGTACACTTCGTAGTTCTCAGATCTTTGTAAACAGTGTCGTTAGTCCCCTAGTCAGTAAGTCATCATCATCTGTAAAATACAGAGGTAAGTCATTTGTGCCTGGTTATTTGTAGCGTTTCAAGAGTTGGATTTCCTTGCGGACTTCCGCCTAATTTGGTGGATCAGTCGTCACCGACCATGGAGGGCAGGACAGTCTGACCGATGTTGTCGGAGCAGCGGGCCAGTTTAACTGCCCTTAGAAAACTTCTGGCCATCGTCCGAGACGTCAATTGATGTTAGTGTTTGGCGTTCCGTCATCCTCGCAGATTGTTTCGCCCACACCAGACTTCTTGCTGCCAGTGGCTCGGATGAGTTGGAAGAGCTTCCGGTAGTTACCAAATGCAGCTGATGCTTCCAGCTCATTAGCACGCACCGACCACCAGGCTTCTCGGTTCTTACGCAAGCTTTACCCGATTTCATTACGTAACATCCTATGTTTGTGGTTAAACTCACGGTCACCCGGAGTAGACCTATGGGTTTCAATGAATGTAAATAAGTATTACAAAACTAAATACAAAAGAGTGGAAAGGAAACGAGTAAGAACAATGTAAGCAAATTTGACAAGTATAAATATCAACTGGGATGAACTGGAAATTATTGGTCAGGACATATTTGGATGATAAATTCTGGTAGCAGGTCGATTCTCTCTCACGAGGGCTAATGTACATAATTCAGTTAAAAAGTACTGGGCAATAAAAATCACACTAGAATTTGAAAATGAACAAATTATTCACTTTAATAATGTCTAGATGATGAGAAAGCAAATTTTGACACCTAGATCTACGCGCGGAGAACTCCCTGGAGTGTTCAGCCAACAGGCTTTCCAAAACTGAGTCACTAGTAGTCGAAAGAGAAATTTAATTTTGCATTTTGCTATACCGAAACAAACGTTTGTTGTTACGAACTCATACAGAACATACTGGACCTCCTGAAGAAAATATTCAATGCAAACTGGTGTTCACCGATATTTATTGATAAGATAATATAACTGGAAACGCTCAAAGTACAAACTAACTTTTCTGGAACGAAATATTTACATACACATCGATTTTTATGGTGATAAAACGTAGTCAGGTTAAACACGCATTCTTGATCTGAATTTTTTTGAAGTCCTTTAGAGTAGACACCGGAAGGAAATGTAGTGTTGATGTTCGTCCAAGACAAATTAACGTCATTTCCGTGTGTACAAAGTAAACCAAGCGTTAAGACAATTGGGCAACCTCTTTTTCTACCACAGTTTTAAGCTTTCATATTAGTTTCTCTTTTCTACCTTCACACACATCTGCTTTCCTTCTATCTTCTCTGTTGAACTTTACCCCCAATCAC